TTTAATTTTCGGCCAAAATAGTCTATTAAAGTTGTCGATGAACTTTCCATTTTATCCTGTAGCCTCGGGAAAAACTCACCGTCAGCGGGGTCGAGGGCGCCATCGGTGGCCTAGTTTAAATCTCCACATTTTGGTCATTTTCGCTCCAAATTCGCTCCTGTTTGCATCTTTTTGCTCCAATGACCCTAATTCATCATTCTTGCAAAAAAACATGAAAAATACCTTTTTAAAAGTGTAATATCATTAAAAATAGTATAAAATAGGTATGAAAATATCAACATATTTTCCTTGGGTCAATTGTTCACCCATGAATCAACATCCCAAATTATTGTTACACCCTTCCATACGGGTGGAAGTTCGGATTTGTTTGACTTATCAGTAGAGCCTACACTCTTTGTGTTATCATTTGAAATGACCTATTTTAAACTCATTTTCTTTCATTTAACCTTTTCACATATCACCTATATGAGATGTGATGGATAATATTTGAGTCTCACCGTTAGCTAGGTTTAGGTTGCATTTTTCATATAAGTTGTCAGCACAACCCTTATCCTATCTAGAGGATAAAAGAGGTTGGCACCTAGGCACTCCCTTTCAACACCATGATGCCACCACCTTTTACTTCCATGTCTTATGGAATGTTCTATGTCATCATCTGTATGATGTCATAGTGCACTCCCTCTGATAACAAGAGGAGAGCTTTAGTATCCATGTATGTTCATGTGTCTTTCATATGCTTTATGTATGTTTGTATCATTTTGTTGCATCTTCTTGGGAATTAATCCCCAAGGATTTTGACTGTGTCATATTCTATACATTCTATATTTTACTCTTTTCTAATTAGATTTTGACATACCATCAATGCTGTTGGGGTTTATTACCTAGGGCAAGATCTTTTCATGGCATGTCTATGCACTACTTGTGTGTATGTTCATATGCACAGAGATGTGCTTCTTCATGTAAAACTTTATTTCTTTTTCTACCATGGATGTTAATGCCTCATGAGTCAAAATATTTGTGGCAGTACTCAAATGACCCTTAGTGATAGTACAAAAATAAGAATTTTTTATTGGCTCATCCAGATGAGTAATGTGGCAATCCTTATCACTAGGTCTGGTAAGATCATTCCAAGTAAAGATTTGGTTTTTCATCTATTATCTTGATGGCGGTTAGCTTATTCCAATGTTTTGGATGGTTCCAGGTTGATGACCCCATCCAGATCCTATAGGAAAGCTCTTATCCCTTACACTACATGATTTATATGTAGATGTATGTGAAGGCAACACTTTATAGTTTTTATTTTGAACTGGGGCTGGAGGCAATTAAAAGTTTTCATGCAGAGCTATTGTTCTTTATTTTATGCTAATTATTGTACAATTTGTGTGCCTTTTGCATGCTTTACTGATTTTGAGGCTTGTGCATTAGCATTTTTGGTTAGATTTTCCTTACACAACACCATATCCAATAGGAAGGAGTATAATAGTTTAAATTAGTACATTTTTTATAGGTGCTTCATCCCATAAGGTCAGACCTTTTATACATTGCATGACATAGCTCATCCTACATTTATATTATAGATCGAGTCTTTTGAACTTTTCTACTTTTAGAATCCTTTGGGAGAAAATGTACTAAAAATAAGATACGAGCATAAGTCCTGATGCTTAAAGAAGGGACTGTGTGGAGAGGACCAAGAGTCTTTGCTTGTGTCTCGTACCTTAATTTCAGATTATTTTTTTGTTGTCTTATTTTAGGGTCGAGTATATATGTCTATGCGGAGGTTTACTACTATTTTATTTTTCTAGGATATCTGGCCAATCCAATGGAACCCAACCTATTAGTTATTCAATTTTATTGAGAGTGTTCTTTAGTGCACCTGCATGTGTTCACACTTTATTATGAAAGTGGTTAATCTAGATATGATCTCAATTAGGCATTTAAGGATAAAATATAAAATTTTAACTTTAAGAGATTTATTTTTATAATGGTTAAAATATTCAAGATTTTAAAATTTATAAGTTTTTTCATGGTTTTATTTTTCTTCATGGCCTTCAGGCTAGATTTAAAATTATCATAGCTACATGTTCTTATTCCCCTGCATTGTTTTCATCTTTTTTAGTGAACTTTCAGAGTTACCAAATACTCTTATCTTTATTGTATAATTCTCTTTTCAAATAAGTTTCTTTTTTGAATCAATAAGATGACTCAAATAAGAAAGGAACTAGAGAGAAAGAAAATAAAATGAAAATAGACAAACATTTTAAAAAGGTTGTAGAGATGTTCCAAAAGTTAACTTTTGTGTGATAGCTTAAGAGTGTACATCTGAAATGAGATTGGATTGAACATGCCTCAGAAACATATCCACAAAGAAAATCCTATGAAATCAACCAACAACAACATAATCATGTTTTTTTCTTATTTTGGGTAAAGAGTAGCTCTCGAAGGAATGTATTTTTTTGGTTAATTACATTGAAGGGATGCCCAAGAATAATCTCAATAAAAAAAGCCTTGCTTACAATTTTTATGATATCCGACTGTTTAGAAAACCAAAGGATTTTTTTCATCTCAAGCGGGAGAATCCCAATGCTTTCATCACCTATAATGGGCCCCAGAGCAGTAGGTGAATCATCGTATCCACTATTGACAAAAATGCCTAGGTATGGATGAACCATGAAATTATTGTTTTCTAGGTTCTTTTTAGAGCACTCAAAGATGCTAGTTTGTCTATTTATACATTGTCATATGATTCCCTTATTCAGATAAATCTCCTTCTCAAATCATATCAACGATTCGAAGATGAAAAGAAGGATATACAATAATAAATAGAAAAAATAATTAAAAACACTAGCAGAAGACTTATATATGGATAATCCTTGTATGATGGGTTAAGAATATAATTTTGAAGTGGATCGGATCAAAGTACTTTGAAACACAATATCCACAAAGAGAATCCATATATAAAACACCCATAACCAAAGAACCAAAAAGAATAATTTTGTTTTTGGGTCAAAAGTCTCCCAGAGGACTGTCTCCTCCTGTTTAATTACATCTTGACAGAGACCTAAGAATACTCTTAGTAATAGGAGTTTCGCTTATAATATCATGAACTTTGAGAATAGGCCATCAAATGATGATTATTTCATATGGGAATGTCTTGATGATTCAAAGCTCTCACTAAGCCGCATGGTAAAGTTTGAGTCTCTCACATCCCAAATGGATAACAACGTGTCAACATACAAAGCCTACAAAATAAAAAAAAAATCATCTTGATAGGGATATCCCTATAGTTCTAATGGAGAGAATGAAAATGACGTGTCTGTGGGAGGGCTACTCATGCCTGCATTTTGTCCCCCCATCTTTCTTTTGATAAGAGGAAGAGAAAGAAGATAAAGCCAGAAGTGATGGCAGTCCTATAACTGTCACTGGGCCATAAAAACAGAGGGTGAATCATAGAATCTCAAATGGGCGACAGCTCATTTTTAATCAGGCCTTCAAAATGATATCAATGAATTCAAAAGAGTGGCATGGCTCAAAGGGGCTCAGTAAAAGGAAAGGTATAGTAATCCTAAAAGGTATAGGTAGCAGGGTCAGGTACCACTGATCAGAACTCGGACCTGCAGCGGTGCCTAACACAGTGGTACACTCTAATTCTAAGTTTAGTGGTCTCACGCAAGTATACATATTGTTCAAGTAATATTAATTTTTTTTAGTATGAAATATAGATCCCATAGGGAGTGACTTCATTAACTTAAGAGAAGCTCTAGCCTGCTAAAAATGGTCTTAGCTTGGAATTAAAGTTGGGTTTAGGTTGTTCTAACTAGTCTTGCTAAATTCTGGCAAACTACTATTAAAAGTTTTACTCTTATAGAAATCCTACTCAATATATTTGAATTGGTGAAAAATCAAGATAAAGAAGCTACCCTCCCTTGCAATGATATAAGTAGTATGTAGGAAAATGAATTCATTAAATTATAACTGTAGGTAGTGGTAAATGGGAGCAATTCTCATCTTTACCCTCTCCTGAATGCATAAAGAAGTTTGGTTAAATTGGTTTTAATTCCTTAAAATCCAATTTAAACCCATCAAATATTATTTCCTTATATATTTGCATCTCCCTATAATTTACTATTGTTTCATAACATCTAGTTCAATGTGATTTTCCTAATTGTTCATGCTATAGCTCTTTCGAGTTATTATGGATTCACAATAAATTTTAACAAATCATTTGGATAGAACAAGAGAAAAGGTAAAAAAAAACTACTCACAAATCATGGAAAAATTACCACAAAACATCTTGGAAACAAAGTAAATCAACTATAATTATGTTTAAATAAAATTATTATGTAAATAAGAACATAGTAATTAGCTTTTTTCCTTTACAAAGTGTTAGAAATTCCTCCGTAAAAGGATCTCATAATCCTTGCTACTTTACAGAATAACCTCTTTACAATATCCCACAAGTTCATCATCGAACTCTCACTAAAATGCAAACTATCTTCTCCTAGACTCTCAACTTTACCTGGACTTCCAGGAACCTCCTATATCGTCTCCAGAACTTCACAAGTCATGGGAAAAAAACTACAAAAAAACTACCTAGCAGTTACTGGCGCCTAAGTGTCAGCTTCTCTGTTTGGTCGGGTAAGCACTGACGCCTAGGTGCTAAAGTAGATGGAGCCAAGGCGCTTGGTAGGAGCGCCTTGACACCCAATGGCTGGGGCCTAGGTGCCAGCCTTTTGAGTTCCAAATGCTCCATTTTAGCTTTGCTTCACATATCAGCTCCGCTTCGCTCCATTTCTTCTCCACTTTGTTTCACTTTTACTGCATGTTATATCTACCAGAAAAACATAAAAATACCCTCTTT